ACTAGCTCACCCACTCATTCCAGCAGAACAGCCTACTTATATATCCCACCTACCAAATAACTTCAGTTGGGGGGTGGGTTCCAAGAGCAGAGCCTTCTCTACTGAAGCTGTGGTGGCGCAGTGGTTAGAATGCAGTATTGCAGGCTAACTCACTGTTCACTCCAAGCATTCACTGGCTCAAGGTTGACTCAGCCTTCCATCCTTCCAAGGTTGGTAAAATGAGGACCCAGTATTGGGGAGCCAATAGGCTGACTCTGTAAGCTGCTGAGAGAGGTCTGTGAAGCACTGTAAAGCAGCATATAAGTCTAAATGCTATTGCTATTGCTACTGTGTCTCCCACCCTTTGGAATATTCTCCCACTAGAGGCGAAATCTGTCCCCATGCTCCTGGTCTTTCAGAAGACCCTGAAAACTTGGCTCTGCCACCTCACTTGGAGATATGACATGGATCTCTTACATTGGGGGTGGCTGATGGAATAGAGAAGAGCCCCAACATTATCTTGCTTTTTACCTGTTCTATTAAACCCTCTTACTTTTAATTGCCGTGTCTTTTTTTTTTTTTTACATTTTATTACATTGTAAACTTCTCAGAGTTGCTATATTAGTAAGACGGGCGGCATAAAATAAAAACTCCTACATCAACAGCACTATCCTAGGCCCCCACATGCATACAGACACACACACGGTCAGAGGCACCTTCACATGCTCTTCTTCTAATATGAAATATGCTATCATCTGTCAGCAATGCCCCTCTGGAGTCTATGTAGGTCAAATGGGGAGAAAAGTTTGCAGAAAAAAAATTAATGGACACAACTTTGACATGAGGATTCAAAACAAGGACAGCATAAAAATCAGATCATTTTCATTTTCCAGGGCATGCCAGCACAGGACACGCAATGTATTTTTAACATATTGTAATTGGTAAAATACTTGTAATCTGTCTGACATATAATCTGTGTTTGCATAACTACTCTGTCTTCTCCTTTCTCCTCACGCCGCGTTCTCCTTTCTTCCCCCCCATCACTCAAAATTAACTCCTACATCTGTCTAGACACACTATGCATCTTTTAAGCTTATGAGTTTTAATAAAATATCTTTCCACCCAGACTAGCACAGGTCTTCTCCTACAATGGCTATTAGAGCATGGGAAACCTTTGGCATCTCTGCTCGGTATACATAGCCAAACAAACCAGGAAACCTCTTTCTATATAGTCTGTTTAGCATAACTATCTTAATAGGATTCCTGGCTTACTGTTCTCAAAAGAAGCAAGACGGAACAGTTTCCAGATTCTGGCTTCTTTAAGAGCAACAAATCATGAATAAAAATGTGATTTATCTGAGTGCTCTCCCTAGCCTAAAAAGCAAAGTGACTGTTATCCTATGTATCCACCAATTTTGTGTAATGATAATAAACCAGAATTAAAATTAAGAAACCTTAATTCTGTTCTACTGTTAAATACAGAATGCTAAGTTATTAACTTATACTGACATTAAAAAGAAATTAACCCTTGGTTTCATTGTTAGAATATGAAGACCTGATCTCCAATAACTATTAATTAGTTAAGAACTCTGTAAATGAACATGACGAAGAGTAAAAGCCAAATGACAACTGATAAATTAGATGCAAACTAGGCGTGAACTGATAAATCTGCTATTTTTGTCTTTGTTTAAAAACAGAGCTGAAGGACTTGGAATTTAATTGAAACAGGAGCAAGGGAATCCATTTTTTTCACCATGTCATTTTTACAAGTTATCAACACACAGAGTGTTGCAAATTGGTTTTCCAGGGAAATACAGATACTGTATTTTTGCCCTTTCAATTAAAAGACAGGTTTGGCCTGTTGTTTTCAAGTGACTTCTGGGGTGGAAGTGGGAGAGATTTTAACATTCCCCCCAACACGTTTACTGTTCTGATCTAATTCACAAATAACTACAGCTATTTTTTACTTTAAAAAAATGATTATAGGTCTTGCTTTTAGACTGAGCCTTGTTAGAACAAGAAAATGAGATAGCAAGTCATGTTGCACGCCCTTTAAATTCATACTTGTCGTGTTTAGTTAGTTTATAGCTATATGCTTTTATTTATTTACATCCCATTTTTTTCTCAGGGGGATTCAAGGCAACATATGTGTGGATCTCCCCTAAGGTTGTAACAACTATCCTAGGGTTAGTTGGACAGTGTCTGGTGGTCCCAGCATTACCTTGCAAGTTCCATGACGAAGACTTGAGCGTAAACTGTTAGCATGCTATGTCAATACTGTAGCTAGTGAGAACTGAAAGCTTTTCATTAAAGAGCAAGATAGATCAGAAAGAAGAAGGGGAAGGAACGTCTCTAAAGGCCAGTAATAAAGCAGATGAATGATAGACAATCAATACAGAATTCAAGTAGAGCATGAAAGAGCTCCAGAATTTGGGGAGAAAAAAGAATCTCTTTTACAAAACTACAGCCGGAAGCGTCTCTAGCCAGTACACAGTAGTTGGATAAGTTTTGTATAAATAAGTTATCCTTTACATAAACAAGCAATCACATTCATGTGTAGCCCATGGTTAGCTCATGATGCAGTGTTCTGTCCATCACAATATATAAAGTAAACTGTGGATTAATCAGTAGGAAATATGTCATGTGAACATGGCCAGAAAGGCTACGTCAGGCAGAAGTGTTTTCCCCAAAAAAATCTGGGTCTAAGGAAGAAATTGTCAGGAAAAAGACTTAAGAAATGATTTGCAAGGTTTTCGTTTCCATGTTCCCACTGTATTTTGGAATGTAGTGATGCCCTTAATTTGAATATCTGCTATTATTCATAGAAGACATATATAATGGTATTATTACCTTTATTTTTTTTCAGCCTAGATGAACCTTTTGGACATATTAGTATAATCCCTGTGTTGGAAGAACAAATTAATTTGTGTCGGTTTCTGATGTGATGTCAGGGACTCAATACAATTTTCTTATTAATTTAGGAAGTCGCTGCTGAACAGTTGTTAGCAATCAGTATTCCATACCAGGAAGAGGCAGATAAAGGGAATAATGCTTATCAACCCCTTGTGAAATAAACTCAGCTCAATGGATGAACAAGATAATCGTGGGCAACGGAAGGCAAAGGATTTTTTTTAAGAGTAGAGAGCAGATGTCGGTTTCTTCATTTTAGCATGTCAGCCAGTACATGAGTTAGAAGCAAGATGAGGAACCTACAATTTTCCAGATGTAGAAAAGTATGTATTCCACATCTGGTCTTCTCCTACAATGGCTTCCCAGCAATTCTAACCATGATATAGTGATAAGGGATGCAGAGGGGTGTGGTTCAGCAATATATGAAGAGCTTCGGGTTTCCCATTTCTTCTAAGGAAAGGAGGTGTTACATAGAAGGGAGGGGCCCAAATCATTTGTTTCCCAACCTTGGCAAGTAAAAGATGTGTGCACTTTTAAGTTGCCAAGATTGAGAAATACTTATTTAAAGGCTAATAAGTCAACGCAACATACACACATCTCCTTTGGAGGGCACGTGCTAGGTCATACACATTACTGGGTCAGCAAAGCAGCAAGTGGGAATATAGACACAACAGCTTCTTTCCTGGGATATACTGTAGTTGGCATCCATCCATCTCTCATCTCTATCATTTGTCTGTCTGTCTGTCTATCCATCTCTCATCTCTATCATTTGTCTGTTTATCTCTCATCTCTATCATTTGTCTGTCTGTCTATCCATCTCTCATCTCTATTATTTGTCTGTCCATCTCTCATCTCTATCATGTTTGTTTATCTCTCATCTCTATCATTTGTCTGCCTGTCTGTCTATCCATCTCTCATCTCTATCATTTGTCTATCTATTCATCTCTCATCTCTATCATGTCTGTCTGTTTATCTCTCATCTCTATCATTTGTATGTTATGTCTGTCTGTGTCTCTCTGTCTGTCTATTTACCTACCTACCTAATCTCTATCATGTAACCTATCTGTCTGTCTATCTATCTATCCTGTCTATCTATTTATCCAAACACACTGGCAACAATGTTAGAAAGGTGCTCTCTTTCAAGGGTTATCACACAAAGGTCCCTTTCTCAGAAAGAAGGAAGAGGAAAAATGTCTTTTACAGCCAAGGGGGGGGGGGGGGTCAATTCGTACTGATAAAGCTTGTGCAAAGGATCGACCTGAATGTGTATGTTTCTCTAGTGCAGAAGTGGTTCAGGAATAGCTTGTGGTCAGTGGGAGTGGCAGAGTTGACACAGAAGGAAGATTTCAATGGAGGAAGTGCCTTTGAGAACGGTGAAATACTGCTTAATTATCTCTCCAGAGCGACCAGGCAACAAGGATGCCTTTCTGGCAAGCTGGAGGAGCGCCCAAAAGCTTTCTCAATGGAAGTAAAGATGAATATCTATCCCCACAGGTATGCAAGCAATGGTGTGCTGGCAGATTCCCTCACGCTCAGCAACACACACACCTACTCAGAAAGTGCTTTCCTCAAACTGTTGTCCTCCAGACGGTGCGAGGCATCGCCTCCCATCGTTTCCAGAGAAGGAACCTACATTGGCGTCCAATACATCTTGGAAGGTACCAGATTGGGGAAAACTGCCAAAGTTGTGACAAGCTCAGGAAAGGAAGAGAGCGGAGAGGAACAGCCGCTCTCTCACTGGCTGGCTCTCGGGGCTCTCTTTCTCGCCTTTCCAGGAGTTAACTCCCAGTGGAAATCCTTCGCACCTAGTTGAAAGGACCGACCGCGGGCTCTCTCTTCCTGCACCCAGACAGTTACTCCCCCGGGGAAATCTGCGGAGGAGTTCAAGGAGGAAAGACGGGGAGCAGAGGCAGCTCGGGGGCGGCGGCGCGAAGAGTCGGGCTGCCTTTCGGAGGGGGGCAAGGCTAGCGGGGTGAAGCCAGATGAAGCGGGAGGAAGGAGAGACTGAGGGGAGGCGCCGGCACTGCGGAGGGGAAGGGGGCTTGCTTGCACCGGGGGCAACCGGGGGAGAAGAGGCGGTCGGAGGAGATAGGATCGGCGGCTCTCCTTACCAAATGAAGTCGGTGCAGTGGCTGCAGAAGGTGGGCTGCTTGAAGAACCGCGCGATGAATTTATGGTCCCTCACTTCGTGCACGTTTTTCTGCCGAAGGGCCCCTTTCCGGGCGAACCGCCGAGCCACGTCGGGACCCGAACCGGGTTCGGAGGCTTGGAAGACGTCGGCCATGGCGCGCGCGCGCGCCCCCCCCCCCCCCCCCCGGGGGGCCCCCCCCTTCCCCCCCCCCGCCCTCCGCACCGCCTCTCGCTCCTTCCTGCTTTGCCTTCGACTTCGCCCTAAAAGCAGGAAGCAGCTTTCAAGCCACCGGCTCTGCCCCGTCCGGCTGCCGCGTCCGACACTTCTGGCAGCTGTGTGGATGGGCGCTGCCTCCTGCCCGCTTTGGGCTCCTCCTGACGTCTGAGCCACGCGCGGCAGGGAGGCGGGAGGAGGATCCCACAGCCCCGGGCCAGACCCGACGGCTCCGCCCGCTTGCCCGCCCGTCCGTCCGCCCACCCTACCTCCCGCCCGCCTGCTGGCGCGCTCCTGGGCGCCCTGCCGCGGGAAGGAGGAAGAGCGCGAGCCGGGGAAGCCCGTCTCTAAGGGCAACGGGCAGGCCGGCCGGGAGACCCCCGCCCCCCGCGGGAGGGGGGTATCCCCCCCCCGAACAGGCGCTTGCAATGCTCCCCGCCCTACAGAAGGGCCGGGGACATCACCTGTGGCATTCGATGCGCGGGGAGACCCGCCCCGCCGCCGTCAATCAAAAGCCCGGACTCGCTGGAGGTTCGCAACGGGCGTGAGAAGAGGGCGGCCGACACACGCAACAGATACTTTTGCCACATGCGCACAAAATGCACCGCCGAGGCCTTGAAATGCTCAGATGCGCGCACGGGGGAAGTCACCCGCGCGGAACCGGAGTAAGCTCAGCCCCGGGGCTCGACCCCTCTCTTCAGGGGAGGTCCCCCTTCACGGGATGAGCAGTGCCCAGCGCTTCTGAGGGATGAGGGAGTTGGGGGATTCAATAGAGAGAGGGCCGGGGCTGGGTGTGGTTTGCAAGTAAATTGGGCTCCTGGCAGTTTCGGAGGAGGCCGAGGTGGCTTCCTTCGTCCAACCCCTTGTGCCCTGTGGGGTTCAGGTGGTTGCCAGCCACTTTGCAGGTCACCCCGGCTGCAAAAGACCAGTGGACCTGAGAAGCTTTTCTTTCCAGGAAGTCACCTGCAGCCAGAGCACAAGCAGGAGCCTGCGGACTGCCCTTCTTACTCATGCAGCCAGAATGTAGTAAACCCACTTGTGCCGCCCGGTGCCAATAACACCCAAAAGTTTGAAAGCTTTTTCTCACACCCACAGCAAACAGGTTGCCCAATGCAACCTCTCCCCAATGTAAACAGCTCTACATGAACCTGTTGCTCACTCCAGAGTTCTTCCTCTTCTGTGGTCTCCCAGCTGTTATAGGCAGCCATTGGTTTAATGACTGATGAAAGTTAACAACAGCAGGGCAGAAAGGCACTTACGAATGTTTCTCACGCTTGCAACCATTGTAGCATCCTCGTGGTCAGAATTTGGGCGCTTGGCAACTGCCATGTACAGGCGGTCCTTGACTTAACAGCAGTTCGTTTAGTGACCATTCAAAGTTACAACGGGGATGAAAAAAAAGTGACTTATGACCATTTTTCACACTTACGGTCTTTGCAGCATCCCCATTGTCATGTGATCAAAATTCAAACACTTGGCAACTGTCTCACATTTATGACGGTCACAGTATCCTGGCAGGTCATGTGATCCCCTTTTGCGACCTTCTGGTAAGCAAAGTCAATGGAGAAGCCAGATTCACTTAACAACGGTGTCACTAACTTAATAACTGCAGTGATTCACTTAACAACTGTGGCAAGAAAGGTCATAAAATGAGGCAAAACTCACTGAAATGTCTCACTTAACAACATAACGTTTGGGCTCAATTGTGTTTGTAAACCAAGGACTAACTGTATTTATGATGGTGTGATCAATTTTTGTGACCTGACAAGCAAAGTCAATGGGGGAAAGCCAGATTCATTTAACAACGGCATAACTAACATAATAGCTGCAGTGCTTCACTTAAAAACTATGGCAAGAAAGGTTGCAAAATGGTGCAAAAATTATTTTTTGTCTTGGTTAGCAGTGTAAACTTACGGCTCAATTGTGGTCCTAAGTCAAGGATTACTGTTCCTGAGACCAATGCATTATGCAGCCTTTGGTTGCTAACTTGGAGGGAGGGGAGGACGAACTTCAGAACTTGAGAGGCTGAGGAGGAGGGAAAGACAAAAGCCAACCATTAATAGCAACAATAGAGTGCATTCTGAGGAATGGACAAACTGTAGTGAGCCCTTCTCCTTCCAAGTTTGGCTCTCGCCTTCCTCTTCCTCCTGGCGCTGCATCTGGATAGGGAAGAACTGCAGCAGATGTGACTCCTTGGTAGCACTTAAAGGAACATAATATTGAGTCGTTCAATAGTCATGATCACTAAAGGCCATAGGTTGTACTGGACTGAGTCCGCCATCTTGCTTCACTTGCAAAGCTGGAGTCTAGGCTTCAACAATGCAATTATACTTTGTGATAAACAACATTTCTTTCCAAAGGCAGGTGAGCCTCACACACCTGCAGTTTTGAGATCTTTATCAAGCTCCATGCTCATTCAAGATTAGCATGGCTCTGATTTCATTTACTATCAGGGCTTCTGCGACAACCATAAACTAACCAAATAAGTTAGCCTTACCCAATAGAGTCTTAGTGCACTCTGCTGGGCTAAAATGTAATTCACTAGCTTGTGGCTCAATCTTACTAATTTAACTAACCGTAATTAACTAACCATGGACATGTGTGTCGTAATATTTTTATACCCCACATGAAAGTAAGTCTAGTTCCCTTCATTCACATACACACACACACAAGTTATGTTGAAGTTAAGTATTTCTTGGTAGTTGAAAGCACCATAAAGTGGGTTTGGGATAATACAATAGCATTTATCTTCCCCCACCACTCTTCCCCTTCAAGAGACTGGGGAAAGAAGCAGCAAAATTCTGACTATATTAATTTGTGGGTAAATATATCATGCAAAAAAACCTGTGAATAGATTGCACCCTCAGCAAGTAAAAGGATTGTGTTTGCATGATAATAAAAAAAAATCAGCATCACTAATTTATTTGTGTTCTCTTGCAACATGCTGCATTTAAATCTAACTGTGTTCAAACTAAAAACAGATATCACTGGGGGAGGGGAGAGCTTGAAAACGAGACCTTGTAACCGTGATGGTGAACCTATGGCATGCGTGCCGGAAGTGGCATTGCAGAGCCATCTCCACCGGCATGCAAGCCATCGCCCCAGACCAAGTCCACTGCGCAAGTGCACGTGATGCCCGCCCGCCAGGTGATCATCAGGTCGCTGTGCATGTGGGGGGGGGGGCATGCGCAGGAACCATGCAGAAAAACGTGGCACCCATGGGATCACACGGGCATGCACAGAGACACGCGCACATGCAGCGGGTCGTGTGCACATGCACAGGGTTGTGGGGGAGCATGTGCATTGTATTATGGGTGCTGGCATGCATGCATGTGCACACATATGCTCATGCACACTTTTGGCACATGAGGACGGAAAGGTTAGCCATCACTGCCTCATAACAAAGAATTGTTGCAAACTTAAGTTCCAGCTTCCCAAATCTTAGAATGGAAGCTAAACTTGATCCAAATGACGGTGGTAAAGTATCCTTGATTATCTTGTTTGAGATGCAGGTCCTGATGGAAACTGAGGAGAGACCTAAGAAATGTGCAGCACTGGATCTAGACCCACACAGAAGAAACAATTTCTGACTTTAATGAAAGCCTAACAGGACACTTAAGAGGCAGAAAGAACATGTCATAAAAGAAAAGTGCATAAGGTACAGAACAGTAGGAAAAAAAATAAGGAAAAAAGTATGCCAGTTAATGAAGATGTAAAATTCTGCTGTAAATACAAAAATACAAAAAGAAAAGCAGAGTTACCCAGTTCCTGTTTTAGTTGGGTGTTCTCTAACAACGAAGTGACAGAACTAATATCCAGGGCTGGATAGATTGCATCCTCGAGTACGGAGTGATGGCCTGATCAAACATTTATGGATCACCTGCAAAGTGATTTGAAAGACAGGGCATGACAAGAAGCAACGGATGGAAACTAATCAAGGAGAAAAGCAACCTAGAACTAAAAAGAAATTTCCTGTCAGAACAATTAACCAGTGGAACAACTTGTCACTAGACGTTGCGAATGCTCCAACAACACTGGAAGTTTTAAAGAAGAGATTGGACAACCATTTGCCTGAAATGATATAGAATTTCTTGCCTGAGCAGAGGGTTGGACTAGAAGACCTCCAAGGTCCCTTCCAATTATTTATTCTATTATTCTCAATCTCTATTCTAAAGAAGAAATAGCAGACTGGAGAGGAACAGAACTTTTTCTTATCTTCAAAGAAAAAAGATCCAACAAATTATATCAATATCTGGGAGGATTCTCTAGCACATTACAAGAGATCAATCAGTAAGTATCCTGAGAAGTACTCCCGCCCATCAAGTGCATCTAATGTTTTGATTAACTACTAGCCAGCTTAAAAGATAATATTGGCAACATGTCTTTCAAAGCATGAAATTCTAATGAGCAAGACCAATCCATGGGTGCTGGATGGCTCACAAAATTTGGAGGTACGGCTCCCAAATCTTGCAAAGTAATTATTTCAGTTTGTTCTACATTGGTCAAATCTTACCTTGGGCATCACATTCAATTATGGGCACTGCAATTTAAGAGTGGTTTAGAAAAGCTGAATCACAGAAAGACAATGAGGATATTCAGATACTAAAAATTAAGTCCTATGGAGAGAGATGGCAGATATAAGGAATAATTTCAATTTGAAAAAAGAAGACTGAACAGGGATATAATAGCCATCTTTAGATAACTCAAAGAATGTCATATAACAAAAGTGAAGAGCTGTTCACTAACTTTCCAGGATTTGGACTCGAAGGAACAGATTTAAGCTATAGAAACACTGAATTCAATTGAATGTTAGAAAGAACTTCCTAAATCGTTTAGAGACGTGTTGGGCTCCCTTTCCCTGCATGCATTCGAACGGGACCTAGATAGCCACCTTCTAGGAATGCTTGCTGGCTTGCTGATCTTGGTGTGGGAGAGAGAGA